CCTTCCACTAGAGCAGGTTGCTCCAAGCCCCTGTGTCCAACCTGGCCTTGAACACTGCCAGGGATGGGGCAGCCACAGCTTCTCTGGGCACCCTGTGCCAGCGCCTCAGCACCCTCCCAGGGAAGAGCTTCTGCCTCAGAGCTCATCTCAGTCTCCCCTCTGGCAGGTTCAAGCCATTCCCCTTGTCCTGTCCCTACATCCCTTGTCCAAAGCCCCTCTCCAGATTTCTTGTAGCCCCTTTAGGCACTGGGACTGCTCTAAGGTCTCCCCTTCAGGAGCCTTCTCTTCTCCAGGCTGAACCAGCCCAGCTCTCTCAGCCTGGCTCCAGGTTTGTGACCACTCTCTTTCATGGCTTCAGAGCCGTGTGAATCCAGGATCACCAGCCTGTGGAAGAAGGGGGTTGAGCTCTGCTGGGCTGTACCATATGTCCAGCAGTGAGCATCCTTGGGAGCGGATGCTGGGTGCACCAGGATACCTATGCCAACACTGTGGGGTGACTGGTCTCCCTGAACTGCATAGTGAGGCACATACGTTATCCTGAGTTGCCGTGGGCAGCTAATCCCTGGAGTCTGAGGGAAAAGATTGTAGGTGAGACCTTGGCAGAGCTGACTTTTGCCTCCGTGCAACTCCTGCTCCTTTCAACTGCAACGTATATTTTTGCCCATCCTCCTCAAAGAAACACCCAAGGAGTGTGCAGATTCCTTCTAGTGACGTGTTTTATCCAGGATACCGATTTTGTAAGTTTATGACCACAGTGCAGGGGTCACCAATGCTGGGTGTCCTACAAACCCTCAGTGCTGAGACCCTGCTCCCAGCCAGCTCTGCTGAGCAAGGGAGGGAGATGATTTATAAGCAGCATCAACCACATCATAAACTGCAAGTGGCAAGTTAATGCTTTTTTACTGCAGCCCTTTTGACAGGGCCCCCGTTAATAGAGGGTTGGGGAGTGGGAACAAAGGAAGGAGCGCAGCAGCTAAAAGCTGGTTGTCACAATGCTGCTGCATTAGTGTGAAACAGCTGTTTCATCAGCAAAGCAGCACCCTCTCCATAACAAATGCCATCGGGCAGGCTCCAGCCTCTGGATTCCTGTGGGATGTGGATGATGCCTTGGTGCTCCAAGCAGCATTGCCATTCCCCTTGGAGCAGAACACTGGAGACTTCTGCTTCTCCCTTTCCCCAGAGGAAGCGTGCAGCTTGTCCTCATTTTCTCAGAAAATGAGATCCATTCTCTGAAATAACTTGCCTTTCCTTCCAGTGCACCTTTAAATGTGTTCAGATGCTCTTTGCTCCATTTTCTTCCTTAGATATGTGGTTGGAGATGGTGAAATGCTCCCTACGCCATATGGGGCTGTCGGGGGCTTCATCCTGAAGCTGGGTTCTGAGTGTTGGTTTTGCCTTGGATCTGATACCTTAACAAATTTGGTAGAAGTATTTTAACATACTGGGCTGTATTGTTAAAGTTTTCCCCAGTTGCTTTCTTCCATCTCTCTTTCTTAGAAAAACAAACCAACAAAAAAAACCCCATCCTAAATTTTTCCTGTCCAGGGCTGAATATTGCAGAGGGGCTGCTCATCCCCACCCTGATGGGAGGTTGGTTTTCCGCCTGATCTCTGGTAGCTGTTAATTCATGTTTGGTTTAGTAATTAATCAGGCTATAAATAATACCTTGCCCATTACCAGCGGACGGGCTGGGGGTGCTGTGGAGGCCGGTGCCTCCGGGCTGTGGGGAGGGCTCACCTGCTGCAGCCCCCTAAGGCCAATTAAGGTGCATCCCAGATGAGATTCCAGCCACGCTTTGGCTGGGTGAATGGATGCTGTGATGGGGGTAGGGGGGGCACAGCAAGTAAGGATGAAGAGGGCTCAGTGCTCAACAAGCCGCACCAAGCACTGGGGTGCGAGTGCTCTGCTCCTCCCTGTGCTCATGGGCTGAGGCTGCTGGTGCTGGTACCCACTGATGGTACCGACACCACTGGCAGCCTGTGGGAGACCTGTGGTTCTGCTGGAGCCGGGGCAGAGACTCAGCAGTGTGTCCCTTGCCTTCAGTCCTGTCAAGGTGTTTTCCTTCTGGAGGCTTGTCAGCTGTTGGTAAAGCCTGGAGGAATGTCCCAGTTGTGGAAGCCTGCTTTACCTTCCCATGCCCCTTCACTACAGCTCTCCCAGCCCAGGGAATGGTGTCTTTGCTGTTTCTTGCTTCAAGGCTGGTGTTTATTTCAGCTGCAGTAAGGAGAGCTAAACTGGCTGGCAGGAGGAATAAATGTTGCTATGACAGCTTGGGTGGAGATTTGGAAAAGGCACTTCAAATTTCAAAACAACCGTCAAGAAGAAAGCAAGCAAAAATGCAAACCCAGAGCCAACAGTCTCCAAAGGCCACCAGATTTGACTCTGTAACATCCACAGCCGTGTCTTTGTTGCACAGCAGGGCAGCAAGAGCAGAAATAATTGAGCCTGGGGTAAGCTGGGCTTTGCAGTGGGATCTTGAAATCTCCCTGCAGTGGGCTGAATATTCAAGGCTGCAGTGTGGTCCTGAAGCTCTGTCCCTGGTCTTCCTGCAGCGATAATTGGAGTGTGGTGCTTGTAACAGCGACTTTCTTTTCCAACCATCAACCTTGAGTAGGCAGACTCAGTTTGAAGTATGGCTTCAAATATGTATTCTCTGGAAGAAGGAGGGAAAAGTGGGATGTTGCTGAGATGGGGCTCTGGCTCTGGGAGTTGTTTCTTGGCTGTTGCCTGGTGTGGGGCTGGCTCTGGGGTTTGCTATGGCCTCTCCTGTCCTAAGCTCTGGTGCCACAGAGCCACAGCTGAAGCAGAGCAGTAACATATGGGATGTTGTGTTGTTTTGTCAGGTGCTGGAGCAAGATGTGGTTCTCCAGTCTATTGACCGTGCCATTGAGGCTGTGCACAATGCGGCCATGAAGAATGGAGGGAAGTACAACCTGGAGCAGAGGGATGTCCTCCAGTGAGTACAGTGGGTGCCTGGGAGAGTGGGCCGGATGGAGGCTGGTCACCATGTGATGCTTGTGCCCGTGTCTTGGGAATCAAGCGGGATGCTGTTGATTTGAGTCCCTGTGGTGCTGCACTCAGTGT